CTTAGTAAGAATGGCTGTCTTTTACTGAACACCTCTCCTGTGCCAGGCACTGCTTGGCATTCTTTGCTTTTGTTATCTTGGGCATGATGTTCAGGCTGAGGCACCTTGCACATGAGGAGACTGAGCAGAGAAGTGAAGACACCTGCTTAAGTCACCAGCCAAGAAGTGGGGGACCTCCTCACATGAGACCCTTGAAGGCCTGCCAGGCTGAAAGCCCCATCTCCTGTGGTCCCCGGATGCCCTCAGCCCCTCAGCCCTTGCTTACTCATTTTACAAGGGTGTGACCTGGAGCAGTTCCAAACCCTACCCTGGGCGTTGCCGCCTGCTTTGTGGCCAAGCTGCAAAGTGCAGGGTGAGCAGGATTTGTTGGGGAGCTGCCCTTTACAGGATGGCAATTAACTCTGATAGCAGGATGAAGGCCAGAATCCGGGCCTTCTTGCTCCTTGCCTAGTGCTCTTGTCACCACTCTGGAGAAGGGGGTGCTCCTGTGCAGAGCTCCCTTCTTGAGGTCGAGCCCCTTGTCTGGCCAGGCACATGGCATCTTTATGTCTCAGGCCTGCAGGGAGCTGTGAAGACAGTTGGATCCTGTGATGGTTCTCCTTCCCCTTTAATGTGTCTGTATTATCTAGACTTCCATGAAAGAAAATATGCTCTGTTTGGGACTTGGTCTTGCTAAGTTGCCCAGGCTGGCTCAAATGTTGCCTGGGATCAAAGATCCTCCTCCCTCAGCTGGGACTGTAGGTGTGCACTGCCACACCAGGCAAAAAATAAACATTTCACTGAACTTGACAAGGCAGATCAGAAGAGGAAATGTAAGCTCAGAGGGGTGAGACAGCCACTCCAGGCTGCGCAGCTACCAAGGGGCACAGCTGGGACCTGAAAGTTTGAGGCTTCTCCAGTGCTCCTGTCCCATACTTTCTCACCTGAGGCTTAGGAAAGAACTGGCTCTATCTCTTTGTGACCTTGAGCAAGACACTTCCCAATGTGACCTCAATGTCCTCACAGTGCACCCCGGGGACCGCTGCACAGGAAGGAGCTGTGTTTGTCTTCTAGGGCTGGGCAAGGTGAATCAAACTGGGCCAGAGAGGCTGCTGATTCGAGTCCAGGTTGGAGCCAGACTGGCCTCAGGTGTGGCCACAGACCTTTACTCTCCCGGACCCTGCATTGTCTCTTTGCATCTCTCTGTTGACCCCTGCCTCTGCCGGTGCCCGGCGCCCTAGTGCTGGCAGCTCCCCTGTGCGAACACTGCGCCACCGTCTTGCTGACTCCTCAGTGGAAGTGGAGTGGATTGGCCCTGGTTTACAAGTGGCTGAGGAGGTTAACTGACTTCCAGCTCACCCAGCTAGGAAGCAGGAGGCCTCGCCCAGAGCTGGCGCCATCTGACTCCAGGATCAGAGCTCAGCCTCTCCTCGGGCTAGTCCCCTGCTGTGTTGGTTTTGCAAGATCAGCCTAGCTATGAGGTGATTTTTCTCCCTCCCTGCCTTGGGTTAAACCCATCGTGCTAGGCAAGTGCTCAAACACTGAGCCTCCCCTTCAGCTGCCAAACATTGACTTTTCTCAAAGGTGTCCGAGAGGTGTCCTTAGGGGGGGGACAGTTTGCTGCCTAGAGGCTGTAGGAGTGCAGCATAAGGCTGAGGGAGAGTTGGGGGGCTGGGGTGTGAGTTTATGAAGTGATGGGAGCAGGCCTTGGTCCATAGCCCAGCACATCGCAGGGGGATGTAGGTGGGATGGAGCTGAGGCAAGTGGTCTGGAAATCCAATGGACCTGGGTTCAAACCCTGGTTCTGCCTTTGTCTGTGTGTCCTTGGGTGTGCGCCCTGAACTCTGAGTCCATCTGTTGTCTGCCAGGGGAGATTGCCAGTACTGATACTGCAGACTGGCGTCTAGGAGCGCCAGATAGGCCCTTCCCAGGAATCTGGTCAAGGTCCTCACCGCCTGCTGTCTGCTCTGCAGGTGGGGAGGCTGTGGTGGAGCCGGGGAGTAGGGTTGGGAAGCCTTTGCCCACCCCTGACCGTCCTTCCTCTCCCTGCCCTTGGTATTCCTTTGGAGGATGGGCGAAGGACCCTGGCATGGTGAAATCAGTCAGGATGGAGAAGGGCCTTGGCTCGCCCCATTGCTGTCCCTTTAGCTGTAAAATGGGGAGTGGTGGCGTGGAAGTGGATGGGGCTTGGGGCTCAGCTCAGAGCATTTGGAAGTTCTCAGTGAAGGACCGGCCGGTTCTGTAGTGACAGGATGGTGTGTTTCCCCCAGAATCTAGGATTTCACCATCTGAGAGATAGATAGCAGTGTTCCAAAGCCATGAGCAGGGAGCCCTTTGGATTACACCCAGGTCTTGGTAGGGGTGTGGAGAGGGGCAGGTTCCTTGAAGTGAGGAGCAGAACTTCCCCAGTCAGCCCAGGAAGACTTCCTGGAGGGGGAGGGGGACCGTGAGCTGGAGGAGCTGCCACCCTTACCCCACCTGTCAGCCCAGCTGTGGGTAGCAGCAGTTAGACATCTCAGCCCTGCTGAGCATGACCTCACCAAGTGTTAAAATAGCAAAGCCAAGGGGGTCCAGGCGACTGAGGGACGGAAGAGGGAGGAAATGGGCTCAGTGGCCCAAGAAGGATGTCGAGATTGGATTTTAGGGCGAGTACCATGCATTTCCTGAATACTTACTGTGCTGCAGGCTGAGGACTTTAAGTGTCCTCCTGAATCCTCACCGCAGCTCTACCTCGTTTCACAGAGGAGGAGACTGAGGTTCCTAGATGGGGAGCCTGCGACGCGGGCCCAGCCCTCTGACCTGTGCCCCAGTGCCCTGGTCCTGGCCCTGCCCTGCCCCAGCCTAACCTGGAGGGAGGCCCTCTCCGGGCAGTGCAGCTCAGCGCAGCTCCAGGGCCCTGTGAGGCCTGGTGGTGGTGGTGGCAGGAGAAGCAGATGGGTCTGTGGTTTGATTTCCCCAGCAGGTGTTTCCCAAGCTTGGCGGGGGAACGGGGAGGGGCAGCGGGGACTTCAGCAGCTGGTCCTTAAGATATTGGGGGAGGACTCATTGTCTGCCCCTCTGTGAAGAAAGAATGGCACATAGTGTATTCAGGAGGCCCTGGGCCCTTGAGTGACAGCCCCAACATGGGGGTGGGGGATGTTTGCTCTGTTTCCCGTGTGGGCACCTCCCTCGGGTGTGGCACCAAGCCAGGAAGTCCCCTGGGCCTGGGCGTGGCCGGGCTCTGCTCTGATAAGGGCCAGCTGTGGGGCTGTGATGGGCACCCTGACCAGCTGGGCCAGCTGCTGCTTGGAGGCCGCAGTCCTGGGCCTGATGTGGTTTAGGTCCTACCCGCTCCTTCCTGCTGGTGTGTCCTCTGGGCACGGGGGTGTACAGGCAGCCGGGTGGCCTGGGGTGAGCAAGCCTGAGTCCTTGGCCTCCCTGGATTTGTGGCCTCCAGTGCCTGCCTCTCAGAGATGAGAGTGTCATTCGGCCTCCCAGGACCAGTACTGGAATCCTCTGGTGCACACTTCTCAGAACACTGACATTTTCTCACCAAGGGTGGCCCTGCTTCACCAGCATGGTGGCAAACAGGAGGTGGCTGCCAGAGGCCTCAAGTCTCAGTCTCAGGTTGGCAAAACGCTAAAGAAGGATCAGTTCTCACTCTCGCCTCTCTCTCTCTCTCTCTCTCCTCCTCTCTCCTTCTCTCCTAGGCCAAAAGGAAGCTGGACCTGGAGGGTCTCGGGAAGCCTGCGGTCCCTGAATTTCGGACTCCCAAGGGGAAGTGCTTCCGAGTGGATGGCCTTCCCAGCCCCAGAAGTAGGCTTCTGCTGGGGCGCATGAGGGGAAGGTGGGGCAGGGACGGGGCAGCGGCCTGAGTCGGCAGGAGTGGTGTTTGGCCCACAGTGAAAATAGACCACACTTGCTGATTTTCCAAGGTTTCCTATGTGTTCTCACTTAACCCTGCCCAGTAAATAGGATTATCTCGTTCTGATGCAGCTGACTCAGTCTTTGCCAGGGTCCCACAGGTAGCCTGGAGTCAGGACAGAAACATACTCGAGCCTTGCTTTGCTTCTGAGGCACCACGCTCAGGCTCTAAGTCTGAGGACCAGTGTTTATTTGGGGGGGGTTCGCCCTTGCAAGGAGGCTCAGTTCCAGCCCCAATCCCAGCCAAAACTGGAAGACCACACTTCCCCAGCCAAGCACCCTCTAGCTCTGTGCCTCTGATTTTCTTTCTTTTTATTTTTTATTTGTATTAGTACCTATTTGCAGGACATAATGGTTACATCCCTCGTGTGGAATTGATCCATGTACACTGCACATCGTAATTTCTTTTCTCATCCATTTTTCCTTTCCTCCTCCATCTCCTCCCCATTTGAGAAAGATCTATCTGCCTGCATCCTATTATCTATCTTTTATATTTGAATCTTTATAATTTCAGTTTCTCATATAAGAGAAGCCATGCAATATTTAAGCCTAATTTACTTCACTTAACATTATGGTCTCAAGGCACATTCATTTGATTACAGATGACTCAAGTTTATCTTCCTGTCTGACAGGGTAGTACTGTGTTTCCCATAAATGCCAGATTTTCTTTCTCCATGCATCTGTTGATGAACATATAAACTGCTTCCAAAATGTAGCAGTTATGAACTGGGCTGCCATAAGCGTGGGTATGCGTGTGTTTAACTCTTTTGGAAGCTAGCTGTAATGTGATGTCTTTAACCCTTTCAGGAAGATACTTAGAAGGGGACTAGCTGGGTCAAATGGAATATCCAGTTTTAGGATTTTGAGGACTCTTCATACTGATTTCCACAGTGGTTGTACTAGTTTACATTCTCACCAGTGTAGAAGGGTTCCTCTATCTCCCAACAGCCAATTTTTTTGTTTTTTGTTTTTCTTTATTGGGGATCAACCTTGTTGTGCTTGTCAGGCAGGTGCTTACGCTGCTGAGCTAAATCCCCAGCTCAATTTGTTTTTTTTTTTTTTTAACAAAAGCAGTACACATAGGGTAAAAAAGGGCTGGGGATTTAGCTCAGCAGCATAAGCACCTCCCTCCCAAGCAGGTGGTCTTGCAAGCAGGCGGTCGTGAGTTCAGTGGTTGTGAGTTCAATCCTTGGTACTGATTTAAAAAAAACATTAAAAGCTACCAAACAAAAAGCTCAAACTGTGAAGCAGGATGTTAAATGAGGTAAAGTAACTAGTAATACGCTTTATATATCTTTCTAGAAATATATATTATACTGTAATAATAAAATAATGAAGAAGCATCAAAGAAACCAAAATTTTCATTAGTTCACTCTGAACTTTCTGTAAGAGACTCAGCTCAGGGTGGAGCCCAGGCTAATCAGATACTGACAGAGCTAAGTGATGCGAGGCAAAGAGGGGTTTGACTTAATCCAAGCTATTCACCATATCAGTGATCTGAGAAGTGAGCATTTAGAAGGGGTGAGTCCTGTTTTCAAATGATGCTCCATCTCTGAGACTCAGGCCCTGGAGGCCCTCAAATCCATTGAGGCAGGAGGATTTTGAGTTCTAGACTGGGCTGGGTTACATAGAGAGACTCTATGTATCAAAGAAAAATAGAGAGAGAGCTCAGAAGCCCAACTGGAGTCTTCCTAAAGATAAATCAGTATTCCAGTTAAAATAGGAATTTCAGCAACTCACTGGGAGAAACACTAGTTTCCCCAGAATTAATGAAGAAGGTATGTGAATGGGTGGGATACCAGTGTCCAGGTAGGTTTCTGACCCGACTTGACCAATCTGACCTCTTTGTTGAACCCTAGGGGGCTCATTTATAAAACAAAGCACAGCTAGATCAGGAGTGATGAGGAAGTTTCTTCTCCACTTGATTGGCAGAGGCTGCTGAGCTACAGCATTGAAGAAGTTTAAAGCTTAGCAGGACTAGTGAAAAACAGTGCAATCAATTAGTAATGTCTGCCTTGTGCACAAAATGTGACAGAGTACTGTGTGCCAAACACTGTCTGTTAAGGAATTCTGAATGAATTCCTTCCAGAGGAATCTGAGACTCTGTGACTCCAGTTCTAGAACTAGTTTGGCCACTGACCTGCTATGTGACTTGCAAGTCACTTGATTGCAAAAGTCCCCCTGTGGTTTACAGTGCTGCAGCTGAGATGTATGTGGTCTTGCAACATCAACCTCACTGAGAAAGGAACCCTTTTCATGAGCCTGTCCCATCTGATGTTATTTGACTGATTCTTCTCAGATAATACATGGGAAGAAAAAACAACTGTGCATCTACAAAATGTTCTCAAATCCAGGCTTGTCAGTCACCTTCTACCCTAAATCCAAATTCCTGGCCTACAGGGTAATGGTAGAGAAGGAAAATTGGAGTGGGATGGTCTGGATTTGAATCCTAGTTTTGCCACTTTCTAGCTGAGTGAGCTGAGGAAGTTACTTCATCTGCCTGTGCCTCGGTTTTCTCATCTGAAGAATGGGAGTAGTTGCACAGCAATCTGCCAGAGCGTTGTAAGGCTTAAATGTGTTTATGCATGGCAGGTGCTCAGAGCAGTGAGCTGCACACAGGAAGCAGGTCTAGTAGTTATGGGGGGGGGCGGGGGCCTGGGCTTCCTGTCCTGACAGTGCACCCTGGCTGTGAGTCGCTCTCCGGGTAGGTATCAGGTTTCCCATAGTGGTGAAGGCCCACCTCGTGGTAGAGGGCTGTAGAGGGAGTTATGGGCCAGGGTAATGGAGGGGATCCTGCAGGGAGCTGGCCCTCCCTGAGCTGGAGGGAACCTTTTTCCCTTCAGCACCCAAGTCCCCTGGAGAGAAGACTCGGTATGACACGTCACTGGGACTGCTCACTAAGAAGTTCATTTACCTCCTGAGCGAGTCCGAGGATGGGGTCCTGGACCTGAACTGGGCAGCGGAGGTGCTGGACGTACAGAAGCGTCGCATCTACGACATCACCAATGTCCTGGAGGGCATCCAGCTCATCCGCAAGAAGTCCAAGAACAACATCCAGTGGGTGTGAGTGCCTGGGCAGGGGCGGGTGGGTGCCTGCGCTGTGAGTGGCGCCGGGAGCATAGCCAGTGTCGTGGGCGGCACAGAGGCCAACATTTTTGGGCACAAAGGCTGGGGGTGGATCAAGAGCAACCAAAGGTTTTCATGCTGGGTCAGAGCCAGCGTCTTTGAAGTGAGGTGGAAGAGTAGGTGTAAATGCTTGAGTAAGAGCAGAACGGAAGACAATTTCTGGGTTTAAAGATCTGAGAAGACCCCAGATACTCCCTCTGTCAGAGATCCCAAGATCTCCATCTCTTAGCTTCAGAAATCTCTGAGCTCCTGGAGCTCAGTAGGAGCTCAGTGGATTCCTCTTCCTAAGCCTGCAAGGCCTTGAAGAGGAGACTTTGAAGCCCTGGTGTGAGCCCTAAGAAAACCCCCACAAAGGACTCAGGTCCTCCCACTTCCCTTTAGTTTGGGACAGGCTGAGGCATAGGGATGGACTGAGTTGAAAGCTTTAATTTTGTTTCTTTTGGTATTGCAAATCAAACTCAGGGCCTTGCGCTTGCCAGGCAGGCGCTGTGCTGCTGAGCTAGCTATATCACCCAGCCCGAAAGCTGTATAAAAATGGAGCTCAGGCCTTGACTAATTTCTTCTTAGCCCAGCCCCTAACCTCAAGTTCCAGTCCATGGTCAGTCCCGGGGAGCTTGGTTGGCCCGCTGATTTGCACAACCCCATGGGTGTGACACCATCTCAGACCACGTGACTAGCCTCCTCCTGGAGCCATTGGTGCAACTCTGCCTAGTAGTCCTGGGGGTGGGGTCCCTGGACGTGCATGGACACTGATGTTGGGGGCTGCTCTATTCCCAGAGGCAGGGGAATGTTTGAAGACACCACCCGGCCTGCGAAGCAGCAGCAGCTGGGACAGGAGCTGAAGGAGCTGATGAGCACCGAGCAGGCCTTGGACCAGCTCATCCAGAGCTGTTCCCTGAGCTTCAAGCACCTGACCGAGGACACAGCCAATAAGAGATATCCTGTTCACGGGACGGGGTCGGGAGTAGATTTTCCTTGTGATATTTTACAAATAAAACCAATTATGTAGTTATCTGTACTGAGGATTGAACTCAGGGCCTTTGTACTGAGCTATATCCCCAACCCTTTTTAAAAATTTTTGTTTTGACATAGGTTCTTTTTTTTTTTGAGACAGGGTCTCACTACATAGTTTAGATTGTCCTTGAACTCACCACTCAGGCTAACCTTCAACTCACGGCGATCCTCCTGCTTCAGCCTCCTGAGTGCTGGGATTATAGGTATTGAGGCAAGTTCTTGCTAAATCACTATGTTGCACAGCCTGATCTCAAACTTTAAACCTTTGCCTCAGCTGCCCAAGTAGCTGGGATTACAGTCATGTGCCACTGTTCCTGGATAGTACCTTTCTTTACATCTGGGGAATGGAGGGAGTGGGGAAGAAATAGTGAGCTCCTAATTTAAGGTAGTCATAGTTCCTTTGTGTGTGTGTGTGTGTGTGTGTGTGTGTGGTACTGCGGATTGAACCCAGGGCTTCATGCTGAGCTACGTCTGCAGCCCTTTTAAATTTTTTATTTTGAGACAGGATCTTGCTCAGTTACTCACAGTGGTTTCAAATTTGGAATCCTCCCTCATCCTCCCAGAGTGCTGACCTGCACTCCCATACCCAGTTCCTTAACCACACATTTATGTGTTATTTAAATGTAATTATGCGGGGCTGGGGATTTAGCTCAGCAGCATAAGCGCCTGCCTTGCAAGCAGGCAGTTGTGAGTTCGATCCCCGGTACGGATAAAAAAGAAAAAGACAAAAAAAAAAAAAAAAAAAGAAGCCAAAATATAATTATGCATCTACTATGTATAATATTTTTCGGTCTGACTTTCTCCATTTGGTGTATCACTATAGATATTTTTCTGTGTTATATCTTTCCAGTCCATTAGGTTGACCCACATGAAATTGCTATTTGGCTACTGTTTACTTTCAGTCAAGCAAGTTCATATGGTCGAACCTCATACTTAAAGTGGTTTGAAGAGCTAGGACAGTAGCATATAAAACCCAACTACTTGAGAGGCCGATGCAGGACAAGTGCAAGATTAAAATCGCAATTTTGAGATTTTTGTCTCAAAACTGGAAAAAAAAGAAATCGTTTCAAATTGTCCTGCTCAGACTATATTCTGGTTTGTTGATAAGACCCAGAATTGATACGAAGTTTTCCATTCTTATAAGCAACATAGCAATGAATAGCTTCAGTGTAGACTGTTTCCCCCTATTTTTGCTCTTGCCTGGGGCTGTGTTCCTAGGGTGGAAATGCTGAAGCCAGTGGACATGGACTTCGCGAGGGCACTTTCATGTTTTTCCAGATGGTTTCGTGTCTCATTGGGTTTTGGATCTGACCTGGTACTTTTGGAAGGATCTTAGACATTTTGAGAAATACAAGGAAATTTTTAAAATTCTTCTAGCCGGACGTGGTGGTGTGTGCCTATAATCCCAGCATGCGGGGCTGAGACAGGAAGATCAGCAAAATTTTGAGGCCAGCCTGGGTTATTTGGTGAGTTCAAAGCCAGCCTGAGCTATGTAGTGAGACCTTATCACAACCCTCACCTGACAAAAGTCTTCTTGCTAATGATCTAGCTTGAGAGACAGTCTTTATATAAAAAGTAGATATTAAAAAAGTGGATATATATATATATATATATATATGATTAAAAGGCAGCATTTTAAACAGATGAAGTATCTCAGTTTGCTAAAGGAATTCAAGGCAGCTATATTGAAAGGCCAAGTTATTGTGTTTAGGGTTTCTGAGCTGCATAGGAGCGAGAGAGTGATTCAGAAGATTACAGAGGTGCCTGGAGGTTTGATATTTTGGGGTTCAGGGGTTTGAGACAGGGTCTTACTGGATACTCCAGGCCAGTCCCAAACCCAGTATGTAGCCCAGACAGGCCTCACAACTTTCTAGTGGGGGCTGGGGATTTAGCTCAGTGGCATAAGCACCTGCCTTGCAAGCAGGCAGTCGTGAGTTCGATCCCTGGTACCGATAAAAAGGAAAAAGACAAAAAAAAAAAAAACTTTCTAGTCTTCCTGCCTCAGCCTCCCAGGTGTTGGGATTACAAGCGTTGCCCACCATTGCTGACTGGGAGTTTCAATTTTGAATGGTTGCTTTCCTTGACTCCTGCTCCTACGCTGGCCTACGTGACTTACCAAGACATCCGTGCTGTTGGCAACTTTAAGGAGCAGACAGTGATCGCAGTCAAGGCTCCTCCGCAGACAAGACTGGAGGTGCCAGACAAAGCCGAGGTGAGAGGGCGAGCTTTTGATGCAGAGCAGGACTGGAGGGCCCCGTTCAGTTTTGCTAACTCTGTCCCTGGCACTGCGCAGCCCCGAGCTCTCCTGGTCCATTTTGGTGCCCGTGGCAACACCAGTGGCTTCTAAGCTGGTGAAGCAATCACAGAAGCTGGAAAGGGTAACAGAGGCTGAGGCAGGAGGATCTCAAGTTCAAACTATGCCTACACAAGTTAATGACTTAGACTCCATCTTGAAATTAAAAATATAAAAGGGCTGGGGATGTAGCTCAGTGTGAAGGCCCTGGGTTCAATCCCCAAGTACCACCAAAAGGAAAAAAAGAAAAGGCAATACTGAGGTGAGGGCTGGGCATGTAACTCAGTGGTAACACACTTGTCTAGCATGTCCAAGGCCCTGGGTTCAATCCTTAGCACCGCAGAAAATAAAAGATATTAGGGTTTGTCCATGTAGAACACTGTGTGAGGAGCTATGCATGTGCCTGAATGGCTCCTGTGCAGTCGTTTGGGGGACGGTGGGGCACAGTGGGGAGCAAGTGAGTGGAACCCGAGGCTTTCACCCTGAGCCACATCCCTAACCCCTTTCTATTTTCTATTTTGAGGTTGTCTTGATTCACTAAGTTGCCCAGGGTAAGCTTGAACTTGTGAACCTCCTGTCTCAGTTTTCCAGAATGCTAGGATTATAGATAAATGCCACTAGGCCTGGCTTTGTGTGCAGTCCCCTGCGGGCAGGGGTGGGAAGGCCAAGTGTCAGGAGTCCTGGTTATAGGCAACAGAAAGCCAGGACTAATCGGCACAGTCCAGAGGGGCAGAGGGAGGGGACCATGTGAGGAGTCCAGGGGAAATTTGCAGACAAGACAAGGTGCCCAAGCTGTGACTTAAAACTCTCTGGCTATCTGTCCCCAGACCCCCTGACCCTCTCCGTTCCCAGCTGGGTTGTCCCCTTGATGGCAAACAGAGCTTTGTATACCAGCTCAGCAGCGCCCTGCTCCAGCCCTGGAAGGGAGCTTGTTTCCCATTAATTCCAGGTCCACCTGGGTCCAGTGCCTCCTGGCACAATCTTGTCCCTCTAAATTTTCCAAGTTCAGCCCCTGAAGTTGGGGAGCCTCATGCCCTCCACAATGCATAACCAGTAGGTGCGGGGAGTCGATTCCCAAAGGAAAATCAGAATGTTCCCGTTAGAAGGGGCCAAGAGGTTGGGCGGCAGGACAGTAGTGCCCACCCAAGCCAGGCTGGCGGACGTCAGTGACCAGCTCAAGGACTGACCTGCTCACGTGCACCATGCCAGCCACCTGTCTCACTGCACACAGTGATCCGGGAGCTCACAGCAATGACACGGCTTCTCTTTCTCCCCAGGAGAACCTGCAGATTTATCTAAAGAGCACTCAGGGACCCATCGAAGTCTACCTGTGCCCGGAAGAGGTGCAGGAGCCCGACAGTCCTGCCAAGGAGCCCCTCCCTTCCACCTCCGCCCTCAGCCTCAGCCCCAGCCTGGACTGCGCCCCTGACCCTGACCCTGGGGTCTCGGAACCTGCAGCCTCCTCAGGTAGGGGCAGGAGGTGGGCAGAGTGGCCTCAGTGTCCTCTTTGGCGCTTGCATCTATTGGACACCTCGCACCTTCCAGTGGCTGGGGCACAGTCGTCTTCCCACCTGTGTGCATTGCACTCCCCGCTTTGGGAAGCACGTGTGTACCCCTGTCTTAATAAGAAGTTGGTGCTGTGCTGGGGCAAAAGAGGGTCTGGATTTGAATCCCAGCTGTGCCCTCTTACCAGCTGTGTGTGCTCAGACACATGACTTACCACTTTTGGTCTCAGTTTCCTCAGCTGTGCGTTGGGCATAGTAGTTAGTAATATGGAACTCTTAGGTTACTGTGGGATTAAGGAGTTCAAAAGTAAATCTCTTATGCAGGGCATGGTTGCACATGCCTGCAGTCCCGGTGCTCGGGAGGCTGAGGCAGAGCTGATCCAAGTTTGACGCCAGCCTGGGCTACATCGTGAGTGAAAGGCCAGCCTGAGTTGCAGAGTGAAACCCTGTCTCAAAAAGCCAAAAAGAAAAAAAGTAAAGCGCTTGGCCTGGCAGTAACCACGGGCCACTGTCATCACTGTGCCACTGCTGCCAGGACTGCTGTTACTGTGAGGGCTGCTAGCGGCACAGCCCTGCACACAGTAACCCCACGGTGAGCCGAAAGTGTCCGGTTCTCAAGGAGGCTCAGAGCTTTATTGGAAAGTAGTAGCTGAGGTTTTTTGAACCATGTGGGGGGACAAGTACTCGCACCTCACGCTGTTCCTCATAACATTTCTTGGACTAGGCTCTATTTCCAGTTTAGAAATAAATAAGCTGAACCGCAGAGGTGATGTGAGTTACCCTAAGCCTCCCAGCTGGGAGGCTGCACAGCTATGTCGCGAGCGTGTGTGTGTGTGTGTGTGTGTGTGTGTGTGTGTGTGTGTGTTACTGAGCACTGAGCCTGGGGCTTTCACACAGCTACAACCCCAGCCCATTTCTATTTTTGATTTTGAGACAAGGTCTCGCTAAATTGTGCAGGCTGGCCTCAAATTTGTAACCTCCTGCCTCAGCCTCCCAGAGGGTTGGGGTTACAGTTGTGCCCAGTGTCACACCCAGGCTGTGTTTTGAATTTGGTCTCCACATTCCTATCCGTCTACACAGGCAGAAAGTAAACCGAGGAAGGGGCTCCTGGGTGGTAGAGCTGGTGCCACCTGGCAGGAAGCTGCCACAGAGTGAAGAGGCAGGGAAGCCCTAAGAGACTAAGGAGGGCAGGAGTCCAGAGAGGCAGAGTGGCAGCTGCAAAGACCCTTCGCGCTATGTGGCTTCTGCCGTTCGTGGGGCTCTGCCCCAGGTTAGCCTGGCAGGAGTCCTCAAGGTCCTGCAGCCAGCCTTCCTCTTTCTGTTTTGTTAGCAGCGAGATTCCCTTCTCTAGGATCCCTGTGTTTAAATCAAGGCAAAGCTAGAGCTGGTCTGATGGAGGATGCTTGGTGGGGGTGGTGGGGTGGAGTCTGCGGAACATGAGATTAAAGAAATCTCATTACTTTAATTTGAAAGTTGACAAACTTGCCTGATGGTCAAAGCTGGCCTGCTTTTATATGATTCATGAGCTAAAAAGGGATTTAAAAAAAAAAAACCCTGGGGCTGGGGATTTAGCTCAGCGTCATAAGCACCTGCCTTGCAAGCCTGTGGTTGTGAGTTCGATCCCTGGTACCGGTAAATAAAACAAAACAAACAAAAACCCTTGCTCCTTCCACGCCCCCTGTGGTACTAGGGATGGAACCCAGGGCCTTTGCATTGAGCTCCTGTTAGTCTCTATTTTGAGACAGATCTCACTAAGTGACACAGGCTGGCTTTGAACCTGTGATCCTCCTGCCTCAATCTCTCAGGAGCCTGGGATGGCAGGCGGTCACCACCACACCCAGCTCAGAGTCCCTTTTCTTTGCTCTTCTTTCAAATAAAATGTGCCCAAGAGTCCCTGGCATTTACATTTTTAGAGTTGAGGGGAAACCACTGTGTTACAGAGATCACGAGTGTCCCACAAAATCTAAAACGCTGTCTGGCCTTTTAGGAAAGTTGATTGATCCTGAGCTAACTCAACCCTTGGTTTGACACGTGAATAAACTAAAGTCCCCAGGAGGGCAGGTGACTTCTCCAAGGTCACACAGCAAGTTGATGGTAGACATGGGACCAGCGTCCAGACTCCCAGCTCTTCTTTAGTGATCTCCCCTGTGTTTGTGGCCGTGTCTGGGGCCCAGGGCATCTCCCTGTGCCAGCCATCTGGCCCGAGGGCACCTCCCCACTGCCTATCTCCTACCCCAGCCCCGTGCCCCACCCTGTTGTTTCTCCTGCTGTTCTGCCTTCTGTTCAACATGTGTGCACTCTGGAGTTAGAACCACCTGTCCTGAGTCCTCAGGCGGAGGTGACAGACCCCACTAGAGCACCCAAGGGTGAAGCTGCTGCCAGATTAAGACCTGAGCCAAGCTGAGGGTGGTGCATACCTGTAATCCCAGCACTTGGGAGGCTGAGACAGGATAATTGCCATGAGTTTGAGGCCAGTTTGGGATACACAGTGAGTTCAAGGCCAGCCTGGAATGTATAAGGAGACTCTGCCTAAAAAAAAAGGAACAGGCTTTCCTGAAGGACTTCACTTACCTACATGCATACCCACACATCCATATTCTGTTTTCTGCCCTGAAGCACAGGGATTTGAGGCCTGAGCACCAGAGACCAGGCCCAAAGTGGAGGTCATTCCTGTCTTGCGACCTGGGTCCTTAGCCCTGGTTCTGAAATCCCCAGGAGGGTTGCTAACCCTTTGCAGCCTCAGTTTCCCTCATTTGTAATAGAAGAGATTTGAACAACAGTTGCTTCTAAGCCTCCTCCAGGCTCTGGCATCCTGCAAAAACCCTCAATGAAGCTGACAATGCAGTATTTGAAATTGGGAGACTTGGGTTCCGGCCTGTACCTCACCTCTTGGTGACGGTGGGGAAGTCACTTTAACTCCTCCAAGTCTTGGTTTTGGTATCTCTAAAATGGGGCACTTACAATACCCTCCTCAAGCTGTGTGTGATGGATGCGTGCCTGTAGTCTTAGCTGCTTGGGAGGCTGAGGCAGGAGGATCACTTGAACTGAGAAATTTAAGGCCAGCTTGGTCAACATAGTGAAACCGTGTCTCAGCAAACAAAGAATTCCCTCGTGAATAGCAGGCAAGTTACAGGAGATGCTGCAGCCTGAGTGGCTTTTAAACAGCTGATATGAACTGAGTGCTGCCGTGTGGGGCCTGGTGAAGGTCAGGGGGCAGAAGCCCACCATGGAGAGTGTGGCGGAGTCACAATTACAAAGGGCAGGTTGGATGAGGGGCAGGAAAGCAAGGTCCAGCCTGCAGAAGGAATTTCCATACACCTCATCTCGGGTGACTTCCAGTGACTTTGCCAGGTGGATCTTTGTTTTTCCACGTGAGACAACAGCCCGAGTCCAGCACCTCATAGGAGAAGGGTATATGCCAAGAAATGGAATTGCTGAATCATATTGTAATTCCTTTTTTTGTTTTTGAGACAGGGTCCTGCTGTGTAGCACAAGTTGGCTTTGAACTCTATGAGGCACAAGCTGGCCTCAAACTCGTGGCTATTCTCCTGCCTCAACCTCCCAAGTACTGGGATTATAGGCGGGTGCCACTACGCCCAGCTATAACTCCATTTTCAATTTTTTTATGTGTGTGGTGCTAGGGATCACACCCAGACCTCATGCAGTCTGCCACTGAGCCATGTGCCAGCCCTCCGAGTTTTGACTTTTTGAGGGATGCTGTTATCCAGAGTGGTTGTACCATTTTATAGTCCTACCAGTCACACAGAAGGGTTCTGACTTCTTTACACCCTCGCAGCTCCTGTTTTGGAAGGTAGCAGCTCCTGGGTGTGAGGCGATACGCCACTGTAGTTTTGATTTGCATTTCCCGAGTTAGAGACATTGAGCATCTGTTTGGTGCTCACTGCCTATTTGCATATCTTTTTTTTGAGAAACATCTATTCAAGTCCCTTGTCCATTTTGAATCAGGTGTTTTGTTGTTGAGTTTTAGGACTTCGCTATATAGATTCTGGGTTTATCTTATTTGCAAATATTCATATTTCCCCCCGTTCTATGGGTTACCTTTATTCCCTGTTGATATTGTCTTTTGGTATATAAGATCTCTTTCTTTCTTTCTTTCTTTCTTTCTTCTTTTCTTTCTTTCTTTGTTTCTTTCTTTCTCTCTTTCTTTCTTCCTGTCCTGGGGATTGAACCCAGGGCCTTTGCACTGAACAACATCCTCAGGCTTTGTTTGTTTTGAGACAGAATTTACTGAGTGTGCCCAGGTTTGGCTTGAATTTGTGATCCTCCCACCTCAGCCTCCCAGAATGCTAGGATTACAGGTATTCACCACCCTACCGAGTTAAATTTTTATGAAGTCCAATTTGTCAATTTTTTTTTTTTATTGCTATTGCTTGGCCTTTGGTGTCATCAAAGAAATCATTGAAAAATCCATTGTCATGATGCTTTTGTCCTGTTTTCTTCTAAAATTTTTATAGTTTTAGATCTTAATTTTAGTCTTTTACTTGGAATTGATTTTTTAAAAAATAAGGATCCGATTTTATTTCTTTGCACGTGAACATCTGGTTTTCAGCACCATTTGTCAAAAGGACTGTCCTTTAGGGAGGATGTTTTTTGTTGTCGTTTTTGTTTTTTGAAACATTCTCATTATGCAACTCAGGCTGGCCTTGAACTAACTATGTAGCCCAGGTTGGCCTTGATCTCATCGTGATCTTCCTGCCTCAGCCTTCTGTGTGCTGGGATTTCAGGCATGCAGCACCATGCCCGATCTGGGAGGCTGCTGTGGGAAGATACAGATTATTAGAATATGTGTGTGCATAGAAGGGAATGATGCAGGAAAAGAAGCAATGATTTGGATGCAGAAGCTGGGAGAAGAACTGGGCTTGGACAGCAGGACACCTGCCCACTGGAGGGGAGAAGCTGTGAGATCTGGGGATGACTTTTCTCTGTTTGTCTGCAGTGTCAACACCAACTCCCCAGCAGGACCCGCCACCACCGCCACCACCACTGCCACCATCCCTCGTCCCTTTGGAGGCCACTGACAGTATGCTGGAGCTGACCCATCCACTGCTACAGCAGACCGAGGACCAGTTCCTGTCTCCGACCCTGGCCTGCAACTCCCCTCTGATCAGTTTCTCCCCGCCCCTGGACCAGGACGACTACCTGTGGGGCCTGGACAGTGGTGAGGGTGTCAGTGACCTCTTTGACTCCTATGACCTTGGGGACCTGTTGATTAATTGAGCAGCCTCGCCTGCCCTCAGCAGCGCCATACCTGTCTCTACCTCCTCACAGACAGACCGACGGGCCCCCTGCCCGCATGGGGACGTTGGACACGGGGTGCAGGCCTCAGGGCATGACGGCCATCTCTCCTTCCCAAACTGCCTGCTCGCGGGTGTCTGGGAGATGTGGCGGATGTGGGTGAAGAGGGTGTCAGGGGCTGGGTCCTGTCCTTCCTCTTCTGACCTCTAACCTCTCACAGGAAGGACCACAGGTACAGGGACCAGGTTCAGGGAAAGGCCCTGCCACCTCCTTTTGAGAGATACTTAGGACCTTTGATTTCTCAAGAAGCACTTAATGCCTTTGTATTTATTTCAGGTTGAGTTTTGTTTGTTTGTCCTCCCTGAGTTTTAGCAGGGAGAGTGTTCTAGTTTCTAGCAAAACTTCTCAGTCAGACCTCAGCCAACTCCCCGGTTTTCCCTCAGCGGTGGGGACTGGGTGTCTGAGGAGTTGTCCAGTTTGCTGGTATGCTAATTGCACTTAGGCCTTGTAATTCTAGTAAGTGCCAAGCCTTAGATCTCTTCCTGCTCTCAGCTGACATACCCAGCCGAAGTGGCAGCCCAGAGAAGGTTCTAGTAGCCATCCTGAGGCAGGCAACATCGAGGCTTCTGAAGAACAGGAGCAGACAGTTAAGGAGTTGTCTTCCTACAGAATTCCTTCGCTCTCTCTCGCTGTAGAAGGAAGAAGCTCCAGGGAGTCAGGAGGGAAGAGCTCCTGAGGAAACATGGGAATTGGGGAGGCAGCTGTCATGGCTGCCGTGGGCTCCTTCCCTCCCAGACCACGGCAAGGCGGAGGCAGGAGAACTGGACAGAGGAGTAAAGTGAAAACAAGAAGCCTCGGAAAGGAGCCCCAGGAACCGCTAGTAGCCTCTCCTGGTTCCCTGGGAGGGTTTTTTTTGTTGTTGTTGTTTTCCAGACTTGGAAGGAATCTTTTTTCTTTTTTAAACTGGGAGTTGAACACAGGACCTTTGCACTGAGCTTTTGAAATGGGGTCTTGGTAAACTTCCCAGGCTGGATTGGAACTTGCAGTCCTCCTGCATCAGCCTCCCAGAGGGCTGGGGACACGGCATGCCTCACCATGCCTGGCTGATTCTTTAAGGTTCTCCTTTTCCCCACCAGCCCTCACAAGACCTCCAAGGACAGAGGTGATCAGGGCTGGGTGGCGCGTTTACTCATTTTGTCACTGGAATGCGGAAAGGGTGACAGGGAAGGGCCTTGACTGGGGACCAGGCCGCTGCAGCTGATGAAGAGATGGGCTGGTTGCCTCCCCCTCGGGCCTGGGGGCCCCAGAACATCTTTTGACTCCACCCCCAATCCTCCAGAGGCTTGGCCACCCCACACATCGCTGTAGCAGCTGGGGACAGGGACTTAGTGCTCCTGCCCCACCCATCAGGGATGGCTGACTCGAGGCTGTGCCTTCTGCAGAGGGGCACCTGAAGGTGAAGGTCTGAGGGGCCTTCTGCCCACCCTCAGGGAGCTAGGGGTTCCTCAGGGACTTGGCTGGGCAGCACTTTCTGTTTAACTTTGTAGCATTAAGTTGATTTAAAATATGAAGTTGGCTTCTTGGGGTTGCTCCCGAGCTGGCTGGCTGGATGTGAAGTCTGGAAGGGGGGCTTACCTGGGCGTGGGGCCCCAGGTTGGGGGTCAGTCTTGCCTTGCCTCTGGCTCACCAGCCTGGAGCCTCATACTGGCACCTCCTAGGAGCGTGAGCCGCCCACAGATGCCCCCACTATTGTTTTGTGTGCTTGACTCCACCCCTAAACACCCCAGGTCTCATCAGAAGTCCATCAGGACCAAGGCACCACTAGTGCCCCAGGGGTGGGGGTCAGGAACTGCGCGCAGCGTGGTTTGGAGCACGTGGCGTAGCTCTCCTGAGATCTCCACTGGGCTGCCTTTTGCCTGGTACCAATTCTGAGGTTCCAAGCACTTAACCTCCATGCCTTGGGCTCAGGCTGGAGCTTTCTCCTAGCATTAAATTGGAGAGAGGAGAAGGCACCCTCAGAACCCGTTTGGAATGAGTTAACTCTAAGTTGGCTTGGAATTCAAGCTCATTCCCCAGTGGCCCAGCCGGAGGGCTGGACAGAGAGCAGCTTCTTGGGCCTGGCCTGGCCTGTCCCCCTTGTAGCCTTCCTGGTAGGGGCTGGACCTTCCAGACTCAGCCCCAGGCTCAATGTTGGAAAGAACCTTGTGCCTCTTTCTTGCCAGTTAACACTTGAAACGCCCCCACTGCTTTTGTTTGTTTGTTTGTTTGTTTTGTTTTGTTTTTTTACAGTACTGGGGGGTTGAATCCAGGGTCTTCACACTCAGCTAGAGCCCCAGGCTTTTTTTTTTTTTTTTTTTTTTTTTTTTTGAGACAGGGTCTCACTAAGTTGCCTGATCAGGACTTGAACTTGGGATACTCCTGCCTCAGTTTCCCAGGGTGCTGGGCTTATAGACCTGCGCTTACTGTGGCAGGCTAAAACCTCCCCATATGGGTAGAGTGCTTGAAGAACACCATGCCACGTGGGTCCTTTGGGAGCCACACAAATTTTAAACCTAGAGCAAGAGAAAGGCCTGTTTCTGGGGTGGATATGTCTGCCAGGAAATTCCTCAGTCCCACCAGCAGTCCCCAAGTCACACATCTCCAGGGACATCAAAGGCTGGGGGACTCCAGGGAACTGGGTGACACTGAATTGTCAGTGGAGCTGGAAATTCAGAGATTTCTTAACACTGTGGAAAGTATCGGGACGCTTCCTTTCTCTACCTAACATGGCTGGCTAGCGTGGCTGCAGGGGAGAGGGAAGCTTGCTTTAGGGTGGTTTGACTTTGTTTCCCCTCCCGTCCATTCTCAGCCTCCGCCCTGTAGTTTGGCGTTGCTGAGTTTGGGTGCTCCAGTGTCTGAGCGTTGTGCGGCTTAGTGAGTTTGAAGTGAAAGTCTCTGGGCTGTTTACAACTTTCTGATTCTTGTTGTTGCATCCTGAGGTGCCCCTCACCCCGGGACCCTGTGGCCCCTCATGACATGAAGGCCACAAGCCTGGCCACCCAGCCATGCCTGGCTGAGAAGGAAAAAGTGTTGTGGGCGTCCTTTGTCTTGAGGGCGAGTGAGGGCCACGGGAACCTGGCTCCTGTGCCGGGATTCTGGGGTCACTGCCTCCGAGCCCTGCCAAGCAACAGCGGAGGCATCTCGTGTGTAATCGTGGCATTAAACGATGGCAGCTCTGTACTTCTTGTCTGTGTTGTATTTCCTGAGTGAACCTCACTACCAGCTGCGAGTCTGCTCCCCCAGAGCAGAAATGGGGCGCCATTGGCCAAGAGCACATTTTCCAGCTGATTTCCCCCCAAACAGCCTTCTTGTCCCTCCATGGCTTATGACACCTACTGTGAGAACACAGTAACTTCTGGACCTGAAACACGACCCATCCGTCTGCTTCATTTTAGGCGTTGCACTGGCTCGGTACTCTCCTCCATCTCATCCTCTGCACCAGGGATTCTCAAAGTGGAGGCCAGGACCAGCAGCCTTGGGGTCACCTTGGAGCTTATGAGCAGTGCAAATCCCAGGCTGCAACCAAGCTTGCCCAGTGAGGGGTTAGGGCTGTGACACAAAAGTCTGGGTCCTAATGAGCCTTCCAGATGCCTGACCAGCTGTAGCTTGTAACCCGAAGGCCTCTTTTCCCCTCCATTCCCTGCATCATTTTATAGGTACTGGGATTGAACCCAGAGCACTGAGCTACATCTCAGCCCGTTTTTTTGTTTTGTTTTGTTTTTTGGTTTTTTTTTTTTTTGAGTCAGGGACTTGCCAAGTTGCCCCCAGATCAGAGACCTTTCTAAAATGTAGGTCTCAGCTTCAGTGTGATAGTGCACCCCTGTAATCCTGACACTGGGATGCTGAGGCAGGAGGATGAAAAGTTTGAGGCCAGCCCAGGCACTTGAGCAACTTTGTGAAGTCCTGTCTATGAATGAATGCCTGGGAATTAACACTCGGGGGAAGGAGGGTGTTCCAAGACCCTGGGTTCAATCCTTGGGAGAAAAAGCATAGTTCTCATCATGTTGTTTACTCGGCGCCCATCAGTGGCTCCTGTCTGCCCTTGCTTGGTCACTTACAGCCTTACTCCTAGGTTGCTCCTTCCTGCCCCCCCATAGCCACACGGCTCTTGAAGTCATGTTTTCCTTCCTGGGCCTGTGTGCATGCTGCCAAACACTACCCAGGAGGCTCTGCACCCGTTTCCGCTGAGGCAGGTGCCTACATGCTCTTGAGAGCTCAGCTCGAGAGCCTTGCCGTTGGATTCACTGTATACTGCCTGTCAGCATGAGCACTTTGCATGTGGATGTGGTTATTTACAGGTATCGAATGCTCATTACACAGGAGGCACTGGGGAGATGGAGGTGCATAACATGCATACAACTGTTTGTTAATGCAGCAGCTGCGGTAACTTCACAAGAGTGGGAGGGTGTTTGGGAGAGTTTCCTTGAGGAAGAGATCTCCAAGTAATCAGGGATAGCCTGATGTTGGAACGCGTGAGGAGGAAGGACAACTCCATTCCAGGCAGAGCCATTCCCGGCAAACAAGGGCAGGTGTCATAGGAGCACTGGCCCCCGCCCATAAGGAAGGACCCTGACAGCTGAAAGCCAGAAAGAGCGCCCCGAAGCTCACCTCTGCAAGTCAGCCCAGGAAAAGGCTGAGTCCAAAGGGCTGATGGACCCTGGGAATGGTGGGATGGGAGGCTGGGTCTGGGGGTCCTGTTGGCCATGAAACACTGAGTGACTAATGGGGATGTTCTGGGACTTGACAGCAGGAAGTGGGTTTACCAGCAAGGTACAAGGACAGTGTAGTCACAGAGGGAAGCAAGGCCTGAGGCCTGGGAATTAACACGCGGGGGAAGGACGGTGTTGATGAAGCTCTTACGTTTTGGCTGGGCCCAGCACTGTCCTTCGATACACTGTAATCTCATTTAATGCCCACAACCACTGGGGGAAGTCGGTTAGTGGTCCCACTTCGTAGATGAAGAAACAAAAGTTCTAAGTTCCCAGGGAACCCCCACCCTGATGGTGGGAATGTAAGCAGCCACTTTGAGAAGTAGTTCAGTAGCTGCTGAAAACCATAAAGCCTGGGGACGTGGCTCAGTGGTAGATCGCTCACCTATCATGGGTGAGGCCCTAGGTTTGACCCCCAACATCACAAAGTAGATTAAAAAAAAAAGTCAAAATTCTTGGAGTTGGTTAATCTTAATGAGCGATTCAAGTGGACTGAGAGACCTCTAGAGTGAAACTAATCCCAGCACTGGGCGGCTTGAAGCAGGTAGATCACAAATTCAAGATCAGTTTAGGAGATATAAGAGATGTTGTCTCAAAAAAACCCAAAAATCCTGAAGAGGTGATTGGATGGTGCAGGTACTAACTTCATCAATGGGTTGAGTGGTTCCTAGCTTAATGAGCTTTACGGGGGTGAGCCTAGTTATCGGAAGTGGGTCATGGGATTTGCATCCAGGGAACTGTATCTGGCTCCTGGCCCCTTCCTTCCTGATGCTGTCCTGCTCGCTGCTTCCTGGATGCCATGAGTTAAGCAGCTGCTCTCTGCCGTGATGTTTCTGGTTTAGATCCAGCTGGTCATGGCTGCTGCAAGCATAATCCAAAAAAAGCCACTGCTCCTTGAAGTCACAGGTTTCGTGTTCCAGCAATGGGAAAGCTGCCCAATATACTCTCATGGGACCCAGTAATTCTAGGGTGTCTGCTTGAGAGGATAGGGAAGTATGTCCATGCAAGGGCAAGACTGGCATTTATGTGTTCGTGGCATTATTCATAAAAGCCTCAAGCTGGAAATATCTAAGCAATCATAAATTGGTGAATGGGCATAATAATTAGATCCATGCAATGGAATAGTACTCAGCCATAAAAAGGAAGGAGGACCTAATATCTACCCCAGTATGGTTCTTTTTTTAATTTTTTTTTCTTTTTCTTTTTTATTGGTACCGGGGTTTGAACTCACGACCGCCTGCTTGCAAGGCAGGTGCTTATGCTGCTGAGCTAAATCCCCAGCCCCCACAGTATAGTTCTTAACAACCTGCTAAGTGAAAGGAGCCAGTCACAAAGTCTCATGTAGTCTGATCACATTTACGGTATGTCTAGAATAGGATTAATTATAAGAGGGCATGAGGGCTCTTAGGAATAGAGATGCAAAAATCCTTAAAGAAAAAAACCACTAGGAAGCCAAATCCAGCAAAATAAAAAGGATTGTACACCATGGAATTTATCTCAGGAATTCAAGGTGATTTTTTCTTATTTATTTACTTTTGGTTTTTCCTTTTTTTAGAAATAAACTCAGAACAAGGGACTAAGCTCAGGACCTCTGCACTGAACTTTCATCCCCGGTCCAATTTTCATTTTTTAATTTTAAGACAGGTTTTTTCTAAGTTACCAAGTTTTCCATCCCTCTCCCAAATTTGTGATCCTCTTGCCTCAGTCTCTCAGACTGCTGAGGTTACAGGCATGCATCACAATGTCTGCCTTCAATGTTGATTTAACATAAAAAAATTATTAGTGTACCATATCAGAAGAATAAAAGGACAAAAGTCATATTCCAATAGATACAGAAAAAAATTTTCTTTTCAAAGATTCAATGCCTTTAATGATTTGGCGGGGAGGAAGTTTTTACTATGTTGCCCAAGCTGATCTTAAACTCCTGGGCTTAACTAATTGTACTGCCTCAGCTTCCTGAATAGCTGAGTCTATAGGTACTTGCCACCATACCCAGCTTCTTCTTGATATTTTATTTTTATTATTATTATTAGTGTCTTTTTCCTTTTTTATCGGTACCGGGGATCGAACTCACGACTGCCTGCTTGCAAGGCAGGCGCTTATGCTGCTGAGCTAAATCCCCAGCCCCCAACATCAAGATTTAGCCAGGACAAGGGGCTGGGGATTTAGCTCAGCGGCATAAGCACCTGCCTTGCAAGCAGGCAGTTGTGAGTTCGATCCCCGGTACCGATAAAAAGGAAAAAGACAAAAAAAAAAGGTTTAACCAGGACAATTAGGCAAGAAAATAGAGGAAGTGGCAGGAAAGACATCCCGATGGGAGGAAGAAGTAAAATTATCTATTTACAGGTAACATGGTCTTGTATATAGAAAATCCTAAGGAATCAATTAAAAAATTAAAACTTTATGCATGAACTCGGTAAGGTTGCAGCAATGATACACAAACTGACTTACACAGGCAACACAGTGCCCACTGAACTGCAGCTGGTTTCTTTGCAGAAATTGACACTCTGATGCTAAGTACATGGACATTCAAGGAACTTAGAATAGCCAAACCAATATAAAAGTTAAAAAGTTATAGAACTAACTAATTTTTAATGCAGTGCTACAGTAGTCAAGACAAGTATAGAATAAACATTACAGATCACTGGAATGGAACTAAGAATCCAGAAATAAGCCAGCAGTATGGTCAGTTGAATTTTCAACATGAGTAGCAAGACAATGAAGTGGTGAAAGAATATTCTTTCCAACAAATCATGCCAAGCCAGTGTGGTGGTGCCCACCTGTAATCCCAGCGCTTGGGAGGCTGAGGTAGGAGGATTGCTGTGAATTTGAGGCCAGCCTGTGCTACGTAGTGAGATGCTATTTCAAAAACAAACAAAGAAGCTACCAAAGTTTCTCTATATCATGGCCATTAGGAAAATGCAAATCAAAACTACAAGATACTGGGGCTGGGGATTTAGCTCAGCAGCATAAGCGCCTGCCTTGCAAGCAGGCAGTCGTGAGTTTGATCCCTGGTACCGATAAAAAATGAAAAAGACAAAAAAGAAAATGAAAAACAAAACAAACAAACAAAAAACTACAAGATACCACCTCTCACTAACTAACAGCCTGAAACAGAAAGATAACAAATGTTCACAAGGATATGGGGGACTGGAAGATTCACACACTTATACGGGGTTGTAAAATAGTAGAAGCACTTTGGAAGAATGTTTCTCACTTCCTCAAAAGGTTAATCTCAATAAATGTATAATCCAGCTATTCCATCCCTAGATAACTACGTAGAGACCAGCAAACATATGTCCACAAGAAAATGTGTGCACAAGTGTTCATAGTAGTATTACTTATAATCATCCCAAAGTAGAACAGCTCAAATATTCATCAGCTGGTGAGCAGATTAATCAAATATATATTCATGTAATGAAATATTACTTGGTAAGGAAGAAGCATGGAGTATTGATACATGCTACAACA